AATTAATCGTTATCGTTGACATCATTAAGCAATTTGCGCTGGTCGTCACTATAAATTAGCTAATTGCATCCAAGATACAATTCATATGATCTGTTTATCATCAACATTCAACATCAAACAGTTTCGTTTACCAATCTAGTTGCCTTTGGAATTCATTCCGTCAGATGTTGGCACTGAACGACCTTGAAATGACTCATGGTGTATTCAAATCAAAGGTTAAAAAAATTATTCTCTCGTCCCAGTGTAAAGGTGACCAGAATACCTGGGCCCCTTTGGCAAACTTCCTGAACTCAGGCAGCTTGAACGACTGAATTTGAAAAGTAAAACTTCTTGTCTGAATGAACTATTAGTATTAGAACCTCAAGAAGCTGATCCGCATGTCTCCGCTACTAAAATGTTTAATGGGCCCAATCACTCATCACTTAAAGTAGTTTAATCTTCAAAGTGAGTTGTACAATCTATAGGTTGTTTTAAGTAGCTGTTGATAGTGTAAAACAGGAGTGACCTGATCGTTTTCATAACTTCGCTTTACAATTTGTACCATAATAAAACTAGCACTGCCATGGGGTTCAAAAAGGGTCATTGTAAGCCTCCAGCGTAATGGTCCTAAGTCTCTGCCCCATGCGGTGCCTGTCAGCATCAGCTAACAGAATAACCCTAACATAACGATCAAGTCACAAATTAGGTCCCTAAAGAGATTTGAATATAATATTTGTTTTATTCAGAATATTTGTTTTATTCTGAAATGTCGTAAGTAGTCCGCGGACTAGGTCGGGCTTTTTGGATACTGCCTGGTTTTCATGATATTCATTTGATTTTGGTATCTCGAGCAAGGAAGATATTTGTGACTTCCCCATATTGTTTGCCATATGATGTCCTCATATATACATATATATTTGATAAATATGCTCGCCTAGTTTACTAAGCTTGAGCACTCTGGGGAATAAATAGATCTACCACTCAGCTTAAATGCAAAGCTCCTACCTCATAATGAGTTTGTAGAGCACTCTGCTACCTATTTCATTCCCTCATCATTAAGGGGTTAGAATAAGTATGGTCCCGGGCCGGTAATCGTGAGGTTGCTGGTTCGATTCCCGCCATCAGCAAAAATCAACCCTGATTTGAGCCATACTGATGAGTCCTAATAGGACGAAACACTGTGTCTATGGATATATGTATATATATATACATATATGTATCACAATGCTGGCAAGCATTACCGTCGCCCTTATATTCACAATACTATTTACCCCCTATACTATTATATCCCCTTTATTGTTTTCCAGGCATTAAGACTCATCGAAAGTAGTTCAGCAGGCATATTTAAGTTCAAAACATTCTAATTAAATGTTAAAGATGACAGGAATAAGAAATAGTTATGTGGAGGTTTTTAAGAAATTTGCGCAAAATACGCGCCAGCATGTTATACGAAATTAGGTAAAAAATCCAAAATCGCCATATTCAGGTGCCTTAAAAACCATGTGAAAATTGAGTTAGAGATATGAAACTTTGCAGGGCGTCTAGACCTTGTCCAAATCGACTGTAAAAAAAATGTCATGTTTCAGGAGTATCGGGAAGTGGGTTTTCTGGAACCCCTGTTTTACAACAGATTGTCGTGAAGTATATATATATATGATATATATATAGACGCTTTTGCAGTCAATTATAGCCTACATTTAAGTGTCCGTAGATTCAAAAGTATAAAAGATACAGTCATTTCGAACCACAGGTCTTGAAGATAATCGTTCACACTCCAGTTTCCATTATATCAAAAAATAATTTAACGTCATCATCATCACTTGATGACGTCATCAAGTTAAGTGTTTTTAAAACTTGGTTTTTAACAAAATAACAACTTTTCAAATCGATTTTAAACCATTAAGGAGTAATTTTATTCAAAATCTGAGGACATTTTCATCTTAGATAATTGTTTAAGCATTCTGAAAATCTACCGGAAAATTTTCCTACCTTGCTCCTTCATAAAGATATTCGCTATTGAAGTTAGTGCTTTTTTGAAGAATAATTTTATAAAAACACAAAAGTTGTGAATTAGTATTCTCTGGTGTTGGGCCATCCCTTGGGTTGTGGAGCTCAATTGTGCTTCCTAAAGGTCTAAATTGTGTTATAGGCTAGTTTTAAAGTTGAAAATCGAAAAGTTGCACACGTGGGGACACGCCCAAATTGATAGAAAATTGTTAAAATTACTGAAAATTGCTGTTTTCACCATTCTTATCAACTTTGGAGTCCCGTTGTGATCCAAGTTCTATATGAAATCTTCTGAAACTTTGCATGCTTATTAAACTATATATAAAATACTGCTATGCAAAAATTTAGGGTGATTCAATATTGTATGCGCACGCAACGTCCGCTCAAAGTTTGCACGTGCGAAAGGTGAGAATTTTGCTCATTCGTGATTTCGAATAAATTCTGCTTTCCCGCGATATTTAAATGGAATTATATATGAATCTAATGCCAACTTGAATGAGTAAAAAGTGCCATATTCAGTCAGGTAAAATTTCGAAATCGATGAAATTACCTCCTAATTATTAATATAAATATTAATGAAGTTATGAGTTTACATTTCGGTTTTGTAAATTATCCTGACATTGTAATCAAAAAGAGATGATATTTGACCAAAACCCATAATCATGGGTAGAGTGTACCGCTGCCAGTGTCTCTCTTTTCCAAACAAAAGGAAATGATATTAATTTGAATAACCGTCCGCAAATGCAAATTGATACCGAGAATGAAATCGGTCGCTCGCTTTTTCCAATCAATAAGCTTTATTACAATTCGTAAGCCGTGATCGAATGGAAAAAGCGAGCGACCGATTTCATTCTCGGTATCAATTTGCATTTGCGGACGGTTATTCAAATTAATATCATTTCCTTTTGTTTGGAAAAGAGAGACACTGGCAGCGGTACACTCTACCCATGATTATGGGTTTTGGTCAAATAATGTATATCCATATATATCACAATGCTGGAAAGCATGACCGTCGCTCTTAATCTTATATTCACAATACTATTTACCCCCTATACTATTATACCCCCTTTATTGTATTTCAGGCATTAAGACTCATCGAAAGTAGTTCAGCAGGTATATTTAACATTTAAGTTCAAAACATTATAATTCAATGTTAAAGATGACAGGAAAAAAATATTTATGTTGAGGTTTTTAAGAAATTTGCGCCAAATACACGCCAGCATGTTATCCGAAATTCGTTAAAAAACCCAAAATCGTCATATTTAGGTGCCTTAAAAATCGTTTTAAAATTGGGTTAGAGATTTGAAATTTTGCTGGGCGTTTAGATGTTGACCAAATCGACTGCAAAAAAAGTTTCAAGTTTTAGGTGTATCGGGAAGTGGGCTTTCTGGAACCCCTGTTTGACGTCATTAACACCCTTTGATGACGTCATCAATTTAAGCGTTTTTAAAACTTGATTTTCGACAAAATAACATTAACAACTTTTAAAATCGATTGGACATTTGCAGGTTAGATAATTGTTTGCCCGTAAGGCCTCCCGTCCCTTATGTGATCTACGAGTCGAGCAGTCAGATCATGAGATCATGTTTACTTCTTAATGTACAGCTATGATTTACAGAATTGACATGTGAACTCTACCCCAGATCCTTACGATTACTGGGCCGGGACCGCGCCACTGAGCCACCAAGCCCATGATGATGAGGGAATTACATAGGTACCAGAGTGCTCTACAAACTCATTACGAGTTAGGAGCTTTGCATTTAAGCTGAGCGGTAGATCTATTCATTCCCTAGAGTGCTCAAGCTTAGTAAACTAGGCGAGCATATTTATCCATAGACTTATATATTATAAGTCATATACCTTATCGGACCTTATTTGGACGGACATTACATGAACGGACATAATTGTGAACGGACATTAATATGAACGCTCGAAGGCATTCAAAACCATCAAAAATCCGATTTTTTTCAATTTTTGACGTTTTTAAAAATTTCAGCAAATGATTTTTTAATCCATCTTTTATACAGTAAGTAAGAATAGCAGTCATTAAGCAGTAAAAATGTTAAAATCAGTGTCTAATATCACATATCATCTTCATTAAATGGGTTCTCGTGCATGAAATAGTCCATGCTTAAACAAGCGTCAGTGATTTCTAGCTTTGTGGAAACCTTTTTTATCAAACTACCCTGGTCCTGTATTTCAGTGTTAACTTTTACAAGCCATTCGGCGTGAAGTGGTTTTATCTTAGACAACTTTAGGTTAACCTTAACATCACGTGGAGCTTTCCTAGCACTGTTTCATTACCTCCCCTCAGTAATATGAACTATAAAAACGTCGGACAATGTCCTTAGCAACACGATTTACCGTAATATCTAGAGGCTGGAACAAGTTTGTCATGTTGGCGGGGACTAGCTCATGAACTATGTTGTGGAGTGCCATGATTTCGTTGACTTTTTCCGCCAAGTAACCCTTGAAAACGTCATATACTAGTAGAGTTTTCTGTGCCTCCGGCAGACCAAGGAGAACCTTTCCGTCGTTAACTTACGGCACAATAAAGTTCTCGTAGTTGTCATATTCTGGGTAAAAACTTCGAAATGGAAAAATTTTTGAAAAAATTTCAACGGACTTTAACTTGGACGGACATTAATTGAACGGACTTTATTTGAACGGACATTAAGATGAACGCTAGGGCCTCCAGCGTTCAAGTAATGTCCGTCCAAATAAGGTCCGATAAGGTATATTATAAGTCATACATCATATTATCGTGTCCAATTATTGGTTAGGTCGCCAAACCTGCAATAAAAACACGACTTTTTGCCCGTAAGGCCTTCAAGTTCAACTTATCAACTATAGGGAAATTGATCGTGCGTGGTGCAATTCCACGGCGAAATTCTTGTTACAGTTAATGGCCAAGTTGATAATATCAATATTTGTTCAACAAACTTGTTTTGTACTTTTTTGTAGCCTGTTTTCTAAAATCATCCTAGCATACCAATATCATTGTCCCAGATAAAATGTCGTGGAAGAAGAACGTGGAACTAAATAATTTCTCCTGCAATGGCTCCATCCCCCTGACTGACACGTTACACCGAGATAGCAGAGACCGCTCTGGACCATGGGCACCCTGCCAGGCTTCAAAAATACTCCTTGACGGACGGGGCCCACTGACTGATGACGAAGCTGCCCTTCAAATGGAAAGGTTTTTTGAGGACTACTACGCAGACACCGAAAATTCCACTCCTGTTCAAGAACAACATGTGAGAGTATCTGAGGTACTAGTCTCGTTAGAGCTTACTGGAGGTTACGAGCACACTATTAATGAATTGAGCTGGGCTACTAAGACTGCTTGGAGGAATGCTCCAAGATGTGTTGGTCGTGACATCTGGAAAACTTTGAGGGTCGCTGATGAGAGGAGTGCTGTAACCTGCAGAGAGATCTTCGAGGCGACTTGTAAAAATTTGAGGATGGCTTATAACGGAGGTAAAATTAATCCATCCGCCACAGTTTTTCGTCAGCGCTACCGGAAAGACAAAGATAAACCAGGGATCAGAGTTTGGAACAAAGTCCTGCTCGGCTTTGCAGGCTTCGTAAAAGATAACGGAGAGGTTATAGGAGACCCTCAGAACGTTTACATAGCCAATCTTGCGCTGAGTTTGGGCTGGTTACCGAAGAGGGAGAAGTTTGAACTGCTACCCCTCATTATAACGGACATCCACCAAAATACGGAACTGTTTGAATTTCCAGATGATATAAAGGGGTACATTGTGGACATTTCTCACCCGACAGAGCCAGAGATTACCAAGCTGGGTCTCAAATGGTATGCTATACCCTCCGTGAGTTCCATGATGCTAGAGGCAGGGGGGATCCAGTACACTTGCTGTCAAATCGCGGGTTTCTTCCAGGACACTGAGGTATCCATAATGAATCTGTTGGCGGAGTCTAGATACAATCTCTTGGAACCTATTGGGAGGGCGCTAAAGTTAGACGTTTCCAAGAACTCGACTTACTGGAAATGCACAGTGGCTACGGAGCTAACAAAAGCAGTTTACGACAGCTTCACGCTTGCTCATGTCTCCATGACAGATCATTTGACTCTGGCAGAGAACTTCCAGTCCTTTATGAAAGAGGAGATAAGAACAAGAGGAGGGTGCCCGGCTGATTGGATCTGGGTAGTTCCACCAATAATTCACTTCAAAACACCATAGACAACATTACCAGTGAAACAATCACCTGCTACACTGACGGGTCACTCACAGACTCAGGATGCGGGGCTGGCTATATCATCACAACTGACAACAATAACACCACCCTTGAAGAAAGATCATTCAAGCTCCCTGATTATTGCACTGTTTACCAAACAGAGCTCACCGCTATCATTGAAGCTTGCAAATATCTATCTACATATACCAACACACACATCATCATATGGTCTGACAGTCTATCATCTATTCAAGCTCTATCCGCACTCTCAACGCGGAGTAGAACTACAAGAGACTGTTACGACTCTCTTAATTCACTCGGATCCAACAACACGCTAGATATACGATGGATTGCAGCACACATCGGATTGTGGGGGAACGAAAAAGCAGATGAGCTGGCCAAGCTTGGCACTATCAGTGAATCCACTTTGAAGTGTCCAATTCCACAATCCTACATCAAACGTCAAATCGACAACAAAGTCAACAGACTGAATCAGGAAACTTGGGTAACTGACGGTCCCAGACACACCAAACTGACACTCGGCCACAAGCATGCCAAAATCATCAAAAACCTCAACACTACACTCAGCAACAACAGACAGGATTACAGAACTGCAGTTCACCTCATCACGGGTCACTGCGGCCTAAATAAACACCTTCACACCATTTGCAAATCAAACACCAGTGCTTGTCCTATGTGCGGGGACGGAGAGGAAACTGTCTCACACTTCCTTGGACAGTGTCCGGCTATTGCCCAAATTAGAGGTCAATATTTCCAAGACTACTACCTCTCTGTCAATGACATATTCGACAACCAACACATCACCACAATTGTCAATTTCGCAAACCGCACCAAACGCTTAATTGTGCCGGAAGAGCTGGATCAGACCGGGGTGACTTAAAGTATTATCTCATATGCTGTCTCGTCTCGTTTTACTTTTCCAAACCCAGCTGGCATTTAAGCGTATCATTTTGACTCATATAACATCTTACACCATCCTCCACCAATCACTCTGATCTCACCGGTAACCTTCCCCAAGGTTGCCACACCCCAGAGGTAGGCAGAGCATCTCAATGCTATCCTCTCGTGGGCTATCTTGGCCCAGCCTCTCTAAAAAAAAAAAAAAAAAAAAAAAAAAAATGTCTCCATGACAGATCATTTGACTCTGGCAGAGAACTTCCAGTCCTTTATGAAAGAGGAGATAAGAACAAGAGGAGGGTGCCCGGCTGATTGGATCTGGGTAGTTCCACCAATGTCTAGTGGTATGGTGCCGACCTTCCATCAAGAGATGCTCCGGTACTCTTTATCACCATCATACGAGTACCAGCCCCATGCCAGGATGTATTTCAGACAAAACTGTAAAAAAGTATCCTTCAGAATACTGGCGAAAACGATCATGTATTTCCTTGCTATGATGAAGAAATGCCTCAACGAAAGGAAGCGTGTAACGATAGTATACGCAACAGAGGGTGGGACTGCCTTGAAGCTTTCTAGAGTTGCAGAGGCTCTTTTTGTGAGAGCTTTCAACGTAACCGTGTTACCCATTACTGAAATAACCGAAGAGGACGCCCTGAGGATCCATATTGATTGTTCTAATGTGGTTATCATAGTTAGTTCAACTTACGGTTGCGGAGGAGCCCCCTCCATGGGGGAGAACTTCCGTCAAAGTCTTCTTAACAAAACCTACTGTTTTGATGGCATAAATTATGCAGTTTTTGGACTGGGATCGTCAAAGTGTAAGCAGTGGACACTTGCTTTTGAGTTCGTAGTTATTTGTATTTAATTATGTTTACAGACCAATGAAAACAAGATAACTAATAGGAAACAACTCGGATAATAACAAAGGATTACAAATCGACTATACTGGAATACACCTCTAAATTACGCTACCCTTAAATAACTTCTACAGCCCTTGCAGCACAGCGCCTAGTATCTTAGTATATCTGCCCGCTCTTCCAGAGCCCTGCTGTGGTTACAAGACCACCCCATCGTCTGGCTCTATCACGCCCTATTCTGCCTACTTCCCCATCACGGTCAACCCCTGTTGACCGTGCCTAACGGGATTCCGCCCTTAATCTACTCTTACAAGACCTCTACAGCACTCGAAGCTCAACGCATGGTATATTAGCCCGCTCGTCCAGAGCCCAGTTGTGGTTACACTACCACCCCCTCGTCTACATCTAAGCCAGGCAGGTACCGGAGCACAGCTCCACTATATATAATGGACCGTGACAACCTTCTCTCCAGGACCCTACCGTAACGGTTCCTGGATCCAAGGTGTCCGGCATCAATGACCCTCCTCGAATCGGGCAAACTCGCTATCCTTGCCTCTCCAAGCTTTTTACTATTTATAGTGCTCAGTGCGTGCTTTTTCACCCTATCTCCACACGTGCGCCCTTCCCACCTTGAGCAGCTGGTCTTATCTTCCAACAAAAGATTCATTGTTCCAAGTCACGGTGTCCCGACGAAGTTTGGTTTTAATCAAATGAACAAATCAGATGAAGCTACAATTCTAAGGATTCCAAGGTCGTCATAAATCACGCCTAATATCCTATTGTCCTCCCGGTCCCTGACTTCATTTATCAATTAGGCTACTTGCTAACTTTATTATCCTCCCTATCTAACTCTCTGACCACAAATTCATACTATAATATAAGATTCTCCGAATAAAAGTTCATACTGCAATATATTAACGTAACTCTACAAAATTCTCCGAATAAAAGTTTATACTACAATATATTAACGTAACTCTACAAATCACTGCTTACACAACTCTTTCAAAATAAATATTTTTTAGAACCCTATTATACCTTGCCTTAAACTTTAACCTAATACTCAAAATCACGGCTCGTTACATTAAACTACGCTAGCCCGGATCATTCCGTTAATCATATTTTCATGCCGTGTCCCCAACCCTACTTAAATATTAAACATTTTTGAAGTCCATCCTGATTTAAATTAAATCAATTCTCCCTCTATCTTCTACAAATTGTCCCTCTATCCTCTATAAAATGTCCCGCTCACTTGACTTTCTCCTTTCCTGTCGGATGTGTACGTAGATGTCATTAGAGTATCTTTAGTTACCCCTTCTTCTCCTCCTCCTTTACGTTTAGCTCTGATTTTACGGAGTGTTTCCGTTAACTCCCGCCGAGTCCTCCTTCGCCCTTCCCCGTCTCCAGCTCCCCTCCTCCAATCTGATGAAGTGACCTGCTCCCCAGCTCCTCGTGATTGACATCCGTTTCAGGTATGTTTCGTATCTTTCCACCGCCCCTGGGGGATGATAATCCCCCATAGTTATTCAATCCAGTCTAAGTTTACTTTATAAATTCATTACTCTTCCACATCTATCAAATCCTTTCGTTTTTAGGTTGGAAGAATAACGTAAATCTTTTTGGATTAAACTGCTCCTACTAGAATGTATTTACAACCTGGTAAGTATCCAAGTCTCCGAGTCTCCTCCCAACATCGTTCCATTGTTTCTTTTACTGTGTATCTCTCTTGTTCCACTGGTGTTCCTCTTAATTATCAACATCTCTGCGTCTCTCTCTTCTTCTCACACCATGTCTCCGTCTTCCCCTCGTTTTCCAACATCTTGGACAGTCCATCTTGGACAGTCCCCCTGTACGATATGTATTATCGTACTGTCCTTCCCTCCAGCTTTCCATATCTCTGTCTTCTTTTAATGTTTCACGTGGCTCCTTCTGATGTTTCACGTGTCTCTTCCCAATGTCTCCATGTGTCTTCTTCCAATGTCTACATGTGTCTTCATCCAATGTGTTCACATGTCTCCTTCGCAGGTCTCCACGTGTCTCCTCCCAATGTTTTCATATGTCTCTTCCCAATGCCATGTGTCTTCTTCCAATTTCTCCATGTGTCTTCTTCCAACGAGTTCATGTGTCTCCTTCCAATGTCTCCATGTGTCTCTTTCCAATGTCTCCACGTGTCTTCTTCCAATGTGTTCACGTGTCTCCTCCACAGGTCTCCACGTGTCTCCTCCCAATGTTTACTTTTACCGCTCCTGTGGGATGATAATCCCACATAGTCACTCAATATATTAATTTTCCTTACAATTTCAATAATTTCATTCACTCTCTACACTCTATCAAGATTTCATTGCTGGAAAGTAAGTACCACCTGATAAATCGCAGTCTCTGGTCCCTCCTCCTATTTATCCTCTCTCCGATCTCCTTCCTTGATTCCGTCTATTTCGCCTTTCCCTCTGCTTTTCCCAACGTAAGCACATCTCATCCGTAGTTTCCGTCCGCCATTTCTCTGCTGTTAAATCATCCTTTATCTCCTTTATCTTTCTCCCTCTGTTCGTCACCTCTATTATCAAATTCCTTTTTCCTCTCATCCTTCGTCTCCTCTGCTGTCTTATCTCTCCCTTTAATCTATCCACTTCCCCTGCAATCTTCTTATTGTGTCCGCGTCTTTCTTGCAATGAATATATGGTCGCTCTTTTAATCTTCCGATCTTGTTCTTGGCTTCATCATCTCTTGTGCTTGATACTTCTTTCTTTCCTTGTTCCCTCTCTCCTCCGTCTTCAACAAATCTCTTTCCTCCGCTCCATCAGTCTCTATTTCACTATGTACTTTGTACCTCCTCTGCCTATATTCCCTGGGGTATTCTTTTCGTTGTTATGAAGGAGACACCCTCCTCTATTGTCCAGTGTAAGTTTTTTACCTTTATTTAGTAGGACCTCTATTTCGATTTTACCCTATCTTATCTACCCTTTCTGCAAATCATCGCTACTTTATCTACTACAAGAACGGACTACATAATAAAACTCGCCAATGTCAACTGAACATTCAACAATAACCATTCCGAGACAATTCTGTTTCTCATCTTAACCCCCAGGTGTTCTAATTAAAGTATTACATTAGACACACCGTTTAGAGTGATCTTACAATGGCACCTCGTATTCGATTGTTTCCAACGAATTCTGCACTACCTTAGTTCTAGTCCGTTCCAGATGGCAGGGCTTACTCTCATGCTGTATATATGTTACCCTTACACTTACTTATATATGAACAACTTTATTTTCCGTATCTAATCTTAGGACTACTTGGGCCTGCTTTGAGTCGCTTACGGTTAACGGCTGTGGACCATGTCCACGGCACTATTCTTTTGCTTCCTGCTCTACCTGCACCTCCTCCAAATGCAACAGGTAAATGACCTTATGTTAATGTCTGATTTAACCTTTAATTTACAGCTAAATATGTCTCTATTTCTAGAACACACATCCCTGATACTTCTTACCTCTGATTCCTCCTGTTAACATTAACCCTCTTCAGACCACTGAATCTGGACCCGGCCCCTACTACTCCTCCTGTCACCACGTCGCCCCTGCTGCTATCTACCCCTCCTAAGTTCCCTCTGGAACTCGTTATTTACCGGGGTGTTTTTTCGGTAGTCTGCACGGTTATCGTTACCTTTCTATTTTACAAATTAAGGGAATATTTTATGCAGCAGTTTTTTATGTTTTGGTCTAAACTATTTGGCCCCAGGCATTTACTTAATTTTAACCTTTTTGTGTTATGTGCCCATAAACAATACCTTTTTAATACTATACAATTTATACTTTTACCTTTTTAATGTGCATGCCTTACCTTTTCTAATTACCTGTTACCTCCAAATAGCGTTTTCCTGTTGACGTTTGCCCTCCTTTTGTTATTCCGGATCTCCCAGGCTCTTTCCCCGACTCGCATCCACTCCAGTTTCCTCCACACGGACAGGTTTTGCTCCCGGAAATTTCACCGTATATATCGCTCTTCTTTTATTCACCTGCTGACCCTCATTTTCACTATTTTTGGTCCCCTCTTTTCCCATTTCCGACTCGGTACTTGTTTCCTTTGCATTTTTCACTATTTGTTTTATCCCTCGGACCAATTTCATGTCCAGTTGTTCACCCCTCTTTAGACCCATCCTTCTGATATATTCCCCGTCTTTTGCTTGTCTTGCCATTCTTTCAAACTCTGTCTCTTCCCTCTCCGTACTTTTAGCTTCCTCCCTGGTTTGGTCCTCATCTTTTATAATTTCATCGCCGATTTCTCGGGCCAATTTATCATAAAGTGTCTTATTCCTTTCTGCCAGCGGATAACTTTCCAACGTCTTGTCGAATCTCCAGCTGAGTGTATTCCGTAGTTTGTTCTCTTTCATCCTATATCTTACTCCCTCCTCAGTCCTTGATCTGTTTTCTTCCTGGATTCTCATTACCCTTTCTAGTTCGGAGGTTATGCTTGGCAACCATCCCCTAACTTCCTCACCATATCTGTTAAAGCCTTCCAATAATTCCACTTCATCCTCTAATGCAGTACATTTGTCTTCTATCTCCAGCCTTTCCTCCGTATCTTCATCAGTATTCCTTCTTGTTCGTTTCCGGGAAGATGTTATTTCTTCATATTGGGGACGCCTTTCCAGGGAGTCTTTACACTTCTTACAGCTCGCCACTCTTTCTCTACATCCCTCCGGAAGCGCTTTCCACACACACTCATATCCTATTATCATCAATCCCATAATTATAACCATTGGCACAATGTACCAGGTCCATCTCCGGTTTTGTTCAGTGCTCTCGTTCATTTTCTCCAACTCCTTACTCTGATCTTCAATGATTTTTGTCAAGCGCGTGATGTTCTGCTTTGTTAACTTCCTTGTATCATTTCTTATCTCCTCCAGCCATTGTGTGGGATTGGACAGCTTTACCACCTTGTCCAACGTTGCTGATCGTATTCCTCTTATCTTGACTTTCCCCACCAACACGT